AGGCTGTGCCTGCTCGGGAGATGCCCCAGCGGCGCAGGGGGTACGGGAGGAGCGGAGGCTCAGGAATTCCAGTCTGGGAAGTAAAAAATATTTCCTCCCGGGGAGGATGGTACAGGACAAAGTTTATCAGCTAATTAACAAACCAAATAACAAATTAGGCGTCGGCATTTTTCACGACCTCTCCACACCTTCCCTTCCCCATCCAAGTTTTCCGACTCGCCAACTTCCAATTTCTAACCTGCCTTTTTTTTAACTCCCCTATCCCATTGTCAAGCTGTTCCTGGGAGGGCTCAGGGGTGCTGCTCACCAAACCCCTCACCCTCCGGACAAGGGACCCAGGGGAGCAGGAACCCAACCGCTGGCCATCGCTGATGTCTCAGTGCTGGTCCAAGGGACACCGACCACCAGATGGACCCGTTGCACCAGCTTCACGCCCGCCCGCTCTGCTCTCATCCAGCCCGTTTGTGTTCAGACCCGTCCAACAGATATTCTCCCCTCTCGAGGGGCTACAGTTGCCAGGGACCACCCCCTGTGTCCAAAAGGGATTTGGACCCAGAGGCCAGGGCAGGGCAGACGGGTTTCTACAAGGGGGAGAAAGATCCAGTGATTCAGCGCCACATAACGGGCGAGTAAAGGAAAATGTGACCTCAGTGTAACGTGAAGCTCTGGGTACGTTTGAGCCCAGTGAGGTGCTGAAGGGCAACTGGGGTACAGGCACAAAACGCCCCAAAAGCTTCTGCTGGGATGTGTCTGGCAGGATGAGGTCGGAGGGCACGGGGTGGCAGCCTGGAGAGATGCTGCTCACGGCTGGGAGCCCCAGACCTCGTGTGAAGGAACTTTTCCCTGAGAAAAAGACCACCCAAAAGCCAGCCGTGTGATAGATCTTTGTCTGCATTTAACACAGAGATGCTACGTGATAAACTCCAGCACCTTCCTGACATCACTGTGTTCTCAGTGGGATCAACGCGCACATTGCAGAATCACTTTGGTCATCTGCACGCAGCCCGAGCGCAGGCAGAGCTCTGAGGGGTTTGGAGCAGCACAAATGTCCCCTCTCCAGGGTCCCAAGACCCGTACGAGTGTTTGCGGGGCTCCAGCACCACCTTTGCCGCGGTGGTTCTCACCGACACAAATGCTCCTCACCCCCTGTGAGAGCACAAGGTCACCAACAGGGGTACAGATGGAAAGCTTTCTCCCCAGTATGTTTTCATCCAGTTTTCCAAGCAGGAAAAGATATCAAATCGACCTTTTACTTGTTGGTCTCTTACTTGTGAATGTCCCCATCAGTTTTGTGATATTCACCTACACAGAAACAAGCTGCAGTCTTGGCTTTGCTGGTGTAAATCTGGACAGACTCCACTGGAGAGAGTGGAAATCCGCTCCGTTTACACCAGGCTAAGTGCAAGCAGAAGCCGATTACTGCCAGGGAACTCCCTCCTCTTCCTTCCACAACAACGCACTTGTCTTGGCACCACGACGCCCAATTGACGTCGGTGCAAACCAGAGGAGGAGGAGGCAGCTTCTTCATCCTGGAGGAGCGCCACATAATTTACGTCACATCAAAATTATCCCACTATTTCAATCCCGGGGAGGCTCAGCCAGCTTCCAACACTCCGTACCGAGACCCCTGCCTCTGCCGCGGGGGGTCCAGCCAAGCAGAGAGCGCCGGAGCCGCAGCCCGTGGAAACCCCCCGTTTACATGCAGCCACGGGGCTAACGATCAGCGCGGATCTCAGCTGGGCAAGGGTTAAGGAGCCTCTGGGCTGAGAGGTGAAGGGCAAGGGGACAAAACCAGAGGCGAGCATTTTTGGTCTGCTGCTCTCTACGAAGACAGGAAACCAGAGAGGGTTAGAGCTTGCAGTCAAACACCACGGGTGGCCGGAAGGATGACGTGCGGCGCGGCTCGACTGGCGGAGCTACCCCCATCTCTTGGGATGCGGTGGCGCAAAGCTCAGCGAAGATCTAGCTCAGCATCTTGTGGCGGTCGAAAACCGTCTTCCGCTGCTCCTGCACCTGGCGCTTCCAGCGCTGCTGGGCCCCCTCCACCCTCTCCAGCACGGTGTTGGCTCTCATGCCAGATGGGGTGGGGGCTGCGGCCAAGGAGCGAGCATCCTGCAAGGGAGAGGAATGGTGAAAGAGGTGAAGGCACGCCCAGCCCCAACACAGGAGGTGGCAGCCTGACTCTGGTGGGAGAAATTTCAACAGTGAAGGTTTGAGTTATACTGACGAACCTAATTTTCACCCACCCCACCACAGCTCCAGCTGGAATTCTTGCTCCTGGGGAGCCCTATGGTAAAGTCAGAGGCCCCAGATAGAAAGTCCCCAGGAGAGAAATTGCACCAAGTCTAAAGCTCTGCCGGAGTCTGCAAGGAGCCGCACTGCTAAGCAAACTGCAGCACCCCGCCAAAATTGGGCCAAAAATTTCTCTTGTCCTTGGAATGCGTACGCAGGAGCTCCTTGGCCACTTCTCGGATGGTGCTGCGGGACTTTTGTGTCCAGCCCTGCCATTCAGGCTGCTCCACACAACCATGTTCACACTGCAGCGACGCTGGAAGGCCCCACGGGCGGGGATCCATCGTGGCACACAAACCCCAAGGCAATCTCAAGGCCCATCCCATCCTCACCGAATACCAGGCAGTT